GCCCGCCCGGTGCCCCCTCAGCTCCCTCTCCTTTCGCCCCGCCGCAGGGTGAACCCGGGTTTCCAGGCTCAGCTGAAGCTCTACGAGGCCATGGGCTGCGCCGTGGACAGCAGCAGCGCCCTCTACAAGCGGTACCGGCTGCAGATGCCCACGCAGAGATACCCCGGGGAGTAGCGGGGCCGGGGGGCGCATCGGGCTTGGGCTCTGGCAGGTGCGTGGGGAGAGGCTTCGTGCAGTGTCCCAAGCAGGGTGATCCCTGTGGGACTAAGTCTGTCCCGAAGGGAACACAGAAGGCCGTGTCAGAGCTGATTGACTTGGAGCATTGCACTCAAAGCAGTTGAGAAACATTCACATTGTACTGGCCCTAAAGAATTCAATGGGGAAAAAATGTGTCTCTGTGAGATGCCCGAGAAATGAGGTCCATTAGGAGCTGCTCTCTTTAGCAAAATGCAGAAATGTTGAAGGTCGATTTGATTTGTTTCCTGATTTATAGATACCTGGCTAAGCAAAGTGAGCATCCTCTAAAAAGAAGTCAGCAACAACAAAATTGGCAAATGCAAAACTGAGAGTTGAAATCAGGATATGAAGTAAAATTTTATACTTTGGTTTGCCAAAGGGTGACTGCAGTAGAAATGTGTACATATGTGTAATTTTAGAGTAAAATCATAATCCATAGCTTTTTTGCAGGATCTCAGTGTAGCATATTCAGTATGACAGTGCTGTCTCCCCTTGTGTGTCATTCTCCTTAGCAGTTCCCATTCGTAAGCTGACTTGTGTGCACTAAAAGACTGTCAGAACTAAGTCCTTCTCTGCCTTTGCTTTCTGTGTAAATATGAACATAAAGCAAAATGCAACTATTTCACCCTTGTTAAGGCTGAAGTCTAGATCCTGGTTCCTTGCATTAAGTGAATCCCAGTCTTAGGTGTGGTGGGGTGAGGCTCTTTCATTTTTATCTTATCTGATGGAGTTGGTGTGTGGACAAATGAATGTGACAAAGGTGATTTCTGCATGCTGTGGCGGAGGCGCAGTGCTGTCCTGTCCCACATGCAGCACGGCTGCGTCCGTCTGATTCACAACTTGGTACTGACACCTCTGCAGAACTTCAGGACTTGCCTCGAGAGGTCTTTGCTGTTGATCCAACCAATGTATGTCAGACTCCAAACACAGAGGTTCTCTACAGGTGCAGGAAATGCAGGTACTGAACCTTCTCTATTTTAGCATGAGATGTAATTCTGTAATGGACTCCAGAGAAAAATAGCCTGTGTAAATCACTGTCACTGTCAGGACAGGGATGAGCTCTTGCCTGAGTTTCCATGCCATGTGTGCCCACAAAATCAGATAAATAAAATCTTATGACAACCACAGTTTCTTGTTCCTTGGGGTTGTGTGGCACTTGTGCAGCGTGACCTGCTGCCTCCTGTGGACCAGCATAATCCCACTGGGCTCTGAGCAGCTTGCTCTGAGACCATGACTTCTGGTTTGTTTTTGACAGTTGGCTTCTCCAGAAGAAACTTCTGGTAAATGTGTAGATTTACTGCATTTTAACTACCTTTCATGGCTTGCTTTAAGTGAAACTGAATAATGCTGCTGTTTCTTAGCCATAGGTTTCTTCAAATATATGAACATAGATTTAAAATTTTTGTAGGCAGGAATTGTTTTAAAACAGGTCTAGATAAAAGGATACAACAGTGGGGCAGAGCCCAAAACTACACTAGTCACTAGATGTGTCAAGACACAACCCTAAAAGAATGAGTGCCTTCTAGACTAAATGAAAACAACCCCAAACCATAGGGTTTGTAATCCTGTTTATTTACTGTCAGGAGGTCCATGTCCATGTTTCCTGTTGTCTGTAGTTTCCCCAGTAAAATCCCAATTACTTTTTCTTCTTTTCCCCCTCTCTGTCATGGCGGGCAGGCGTGCTCTGTTCCGAAGTTCCAGCATCCTGTCTCACATGGAAGGAAGTGGCCCGACAGCCTTTGTCCACAAGAGGATAACGGACTCTGCTCAGCTTTGTGGTGACAGCCGTGAGAAGTGTACCTCTTACTTCACTGAGCCCGTGCAGTGGATGGAGCCAGCGTTGCTTGGAGTAATGGAAGGACAGGTGATGGGCAGCATGTGCTTTAGTCTTGGATTTTATTCTTTCTAGGAGGCAGAACAAACTCTTCCTGTTCCCTGATGCAAAAGCCCCCCACACCAGGACCTAGGTCTGCCAGCCCTTCTGGCATGAATTTTCCAGCTTGTGAACATATTCTTAAATATCCTTTTACAAGGAAGGGAACTGGTGATAGTACTGGGCTGAGACCACTACCCAGGGTGTTGGACAGGGTTTATCTGCTGTTTGGTTTTAGTGTGAGAAAAAGAGTTTGTGGAACTTAAAGCTGTTGAGGTCTTGGGCTGACTCAGGCTTTCTGGAGATTGGCAGAACTGTCCTGGAACCACACCGGGTCCAAGCAGCTGCATTTCCACACCCTCCCTTCTGCCAGCACAGTTGGCTGCTATACCTTAGGGCTAAACATCTGTGCCAGGTTAGCTTCCCTGTCTGTTTTTCAGCCCATTTACCTTCTCTGAAGTGTTACAAAGGAAGGAGCTGGCTCAGCAGAGGTTGTCACAATGAACGTGCCATAGAAGTACATTGAAGTAACTCTCCATCTGCATGTGCCTTAGACTGGGTCACGTTTTTTTCTTGCAGCTGCTGTGCCCCAAATGCACATCGAAGCTGGGCTCCTTCAGCTGGCGGGGGGAGCAGTGCTCCTGCGGCCGCTGGGTGACACCTGCCTTCCAGATCCACAAAAGCCGCGTGGATGAAGTGAGGACGCTGCCAGTCGGGAACTTCCACGCTGCCAAAACCTGAACTCCTCAGTTCTCTCAATGGATTTCTTACCATTAATAGAGAACTGGCCAGGCTGCAGTTGCCAGGACCGAGCTTGTGACCTCCACCCCTTTGGGAGGCAGTGGGATTACTTGCACATCTGCTCTGTTCAAGCTTGCTGTATCTCTAATATATGTAAAATAGTAAAACATTTCCATCAAAGAGGCGTTACACAGTGGTCAAATAGGTACAACAATGCCTGAATATAATGTTTTCAGTATATTCTCACTTTGTGTGGTGGTATTTACAGGTGGTTTCAACTCCTTATTGAAAAGGAATGCTAACTTCTGGGCTGTGGCTAGCACTGATGCTGCTTTTCCCCTCAAGAGGTTCCAATCACTTTGTCCAGCTTTCATATTTAGAGATTTCAGGAGGTATATTCCATAGAGCAAGGAAATACTTTCAGGCTCCGCCAGACTGATTTAAAGAAATCCCTAAAATGAAGTAGTAAGGTTTTAAGCAAGCTGTGAGCTGTTCTGAGAGTATGCTGCACACACCACAGGGGCACAGCGTTGGTTTGGGGTAAGAAAAGAGGACAGATAAAACCTACTTTAAATCAATTTTATTTTCATTGACTTCAACGTATTTTTTTTATTTTCTTTTTTACACAATTTCCTGCAACATACATTATGAAATATACAAGATAAAGTAGGTGGTAGAGTTCTGCCCATCTTTTAGCTCCTCCAACAGGTGTGGAGGAAAGACCTGCAGGACACAGTGAACATCAGAATCTCAACACTGAAAACGGACACAAACCAAAAAAGACAAAAATATATATGAAACTGTTTGAACTGGTCACACTTCAGGGCCAGGTACAGCACAATAAATATTAGAACTGCATTATCTTAGACATCTTCTGTAAAGTTTATAACATCCTCTGTTTAAAGAGATAAGAACATCTGGTTTCTAGCATGAAATGCTACATAGTACAGTGGTGAAGGGTACAAACAATGAGGAATCCAGCAAGGGCTTGGACAGTGACTACTCATTCACACATGCTCATTGGTAAAATAAACAGCATACACCATAAGTTCAGTGAGCTGTAAACTTAACCATTCGCTACCAGGATATCAGCTGGAGTAGCAGTTGCATTTTCAGAGAACCAAAAGTAGTTAATCCCTTTAACTTTCAGCCGGGCTCTCCCCTAACGAACAGCAAGTTGATACCATAACGGAAGTGGCAGCATTTGGTCCATAGTGCAAGATCCCTTTGCATCACTACTGTTGAGAGCTGGCAGCTGGTGGCAATACCTCCACGCAGAATTCATGCTTGCACAGCCACGCCACCACCACAGTGTCACTGACCCCAGGTACTGTCTGATGACATAACAAAGCAGTAAATGTCAGCTGGAAGCCAGCTGGGTGCAGGCAAGCAGCGCTGGATGCCACCCAACACAAGCAAGAGGCAGAGACTGGAGAGGGTGCCAGCATTTCTGTCTTTCTCCACAGCAGTGGGCTCCTGGAGTGCGACAGAAAGGCTGTTCATTCCTCACCTCTTAGTATTTGCCAGTCAGCAAGCTCAAGCAGCAGCGGTTTCAGCTGCTTGACAAGAGTGCCTCCAGAGCACAAGGCCAGAGTCACTGGTTTCTCTTGCATTGCCATCAACACGGCAGGAGTAACTACATTTTGTACTTTGCAGCCTTCCCCCTGTTCATCCCCCGCCCCCAGTTTAGCATCATACATTCCTCTTACACGAGAACCAGGGACCTTCTGTGCCACCACCAAACAGGCCATGTGAGCACAGGTGGAGGAGGAAGGCTGGGCACACGCTTTCCCTTCCTTAGCACAACCTGGGCATTGCACTGGGAGGCAGAGCACCACAGAGGAAGGGCTGCCTTCCTGGTCCACACGCATGGCATCTCCGAAACTTGCCACCTGCATCCTGCAGTACATGGCAGCAGTCACAAGCTTCACTAACTAAAGCAGCTGAGTGTCATGAAATCTTATGGGGTGAGTGGGAGGCAAGAAGGTCAAATTCTGCTGGAAGCTGAGCACCTATGGCTTTGATTTTAGCTGATGCAGAGCCCAGCAGTCCTATCTGTATTAACTAGGAAGATAAAACTGTATTTCTCCAGGGTACAGAAGTACACTGGTCACTTGTACATGCTCATCTTCTAGTCAGTCCCTTCTTGGAGAGATCTAGAACTACCATGTTTAAACACTGACTCAGCTGAGGGCTGCAGAGGGGTCAGAGTACTGAAGAATTTCTGGTTGTATCAATGCATCAGCAGAACATGGTCAAAACCTCTTTGAGAATAGGGAGTTCTATGTCATGATAGTCACTTTGCAAAGCATCAGATGTAAATGCCCTTACCTGTGCCAGCTCAGAACGTACCGCATGACTGCATTAAGATATACACCTCCTCTGCCAGTACAGCTCAGCTGGATACATCCCAAAGTGAAAGACCAGTTACCAAGAGAGCTGGGAGAGGCAAGGTGAAATTCTTCCCACCCTAGAAGTGTACAACAGCATTTCCTCACTCAGCCAGGCCCATTCACACACCACACACCATTTCAGACACACAAAGCAATGCCAAACACAAATTAGGAGGAATGTTTTGTAAGGACACTCTCTGAGTATGAACAGGGAAAAAACATAGGGCTATTTATCAACTCAAGTACTGTTGCATCATTCTTTTAAGGTAGGGAAGCAAAGGAGCTGAGATGAGGAATTGAGAGGACAAACTGGAGTGGTCACAGAGGTCAAGTCTAGTCTTCCAGACTGCGAAATGCATTCTGCATATCCTCAAACAGCTGAGCATAGTCCGCCTTGATTTTTGTTTCACCATCTTTGACAGGGTCCTGAAAGATAACACAGCAAGTGAACAGCTCCATGAGGAAAAGCCTTGGGTACTTTAGACAAACCTGCTTTGCCAGTGCTGTCATTTCTTGCCCTTGGGATTTACCCTTGCCAACTGCAGAGCAGGCATTATAGCTCCTGTCTGTCTCACTGACAGCCATGAGGTTTAAATCTCATCGTCTTGACACATTCAGGGAGCAGACAGGATGGACACTGGACAGAGATTTTCTTTCATGTGCAGGGTTACTTTATTGAAAAGCAAATGATTTGGTGAGGATTCAGTAATAGAGAGGGTCTTAGTTAATGCTGTGTGATTCAAGAGCTGCAGTCGTTAGTACCAGCTCCTATCCCTAAACCACTGTGACTCAGAAATGCTCTGTTGTACTTTCTGGGGTGCATCCCCTCGTAAGTGCAAGAGTTACTTTGCCATCATTCGGAGGTCACTTGGTTCCAATTCAAATCTTAGTGTGCAATCATAAGCTCAAACCCATCTTTGCACAGCTTCGAAGTATTTCTTGGAATACTTTTCATGAAAGACAAAGGCAAAAAATGTACCAATCGACTTCTGCAGCTCTGAGGCTGCAAGGCCTTCCTGTGAGAAGCAGGAACTGCCAGGCTCTGAAACCTGCTCAATGTCTTCACCATTCCCGTCTCAGCACTACATTTCTCTGGGCCAGCGCAGCTCTCAGGAAACACAGTGGACTTACATGTGTGGATGCAATCCTCCTTCATTGTCTCTCCAAAGCAGACAGACTGCAAGATGCAGGGCATTTAAATTTTTGTGCCTTTTAAACTGTTACCCAGGAAATGTAATTTTCCTAACTACTCCTGTATTAGAGGCCCAGCTCCTCTTACATGTATTCAACCCCTGGCTTCCCTTTTTCAGTCCACCATTCTCCTGTATGCCAGATGTCTTCTGGTGGCCAGGGTTTGTAAAAAGTCTTACTTCCCCTGTCTCTATATAACAAGCTCTCAAAGCAGCTCATGTTGGTAAATGTATCTTGTTATGTTCTTGATGCTTTGAGAATATACACCAGGGATCTGCTTACTGCAGAAACAAGCCAAAGAAATAAAAAACCTGCAGGAACAGAATCCATTGGCACACCAGAACACTTAAATTTAACATAATTTTATCCTAAGGTACTTGTTCTTGAAAGATTTGCAATGATGGCTTTTAAGAGTTACAGCAGTTACATTATTCTTCAAAGAGCATATTCCTTAGCTTCTTTAACATCAGTTTCTTAGCTTCTTTAACATCAGTTTCTTAGCTTCTTTAACATCAGTTTCTTAGCTTCTTTAACATCAGTTTCTTAGCTTCTTTAACATCAGTTTCTTAGCTTCTTTAACATCAGTTTCTTAGCTTCTTTAACATCAGTTTCTTAGCTTCTTTAACATCAGTTTCTTAGCTTCTTTAACATCAGTTTCTTAGCTTCTTTAACATCAGTTTCTTAGCTTCTTTAACATCAGTTTCTTAGCTTCTTTAACATCAGTTTCTTAGCTTCTTTAACATCAGTCAGCATCACAGGTTACTGTCCTACCAGGAGCTGCTACACCAGCATGCTCTGGATGAGTTTGAGGAAAACTGTACCCTAAGAAGTTACCCAGAGCAGGTGCTCCAAGACACTTGTTTTCCCTTTCGCTCATGTTGAAGTTACTCCTCCCTTCCCCTCCTCCTTAAGTCCTCTGCCTTAAGTCCTGAAGCCATACACAGCACATGTCACGTATTACTGCAGGAGACTAGGATTTCTTTCCTTTACTTCCATTTAAGAGTATGCCGTCAACATTTCTATCATTCACTTTTTAGCACATTCCTGGATTTAAACTTGAGGCTGCTTTTATCTGCTAATTCTCCTTAGAACATGTTATGGGGTTTTACGTAAGTTTATCACAAAACCCCCAAACAAACAGCAAAGGTGCTTGTACTAGTACCACGATACATGTAACATAGAAGAGACTCTCCAAGGTGGGAGTGCTGAGGCTCTGAAGCCAGTATCACCTGCCTGGCTTCCATACTGACCATTCCCATGCTCACAAGCTAAAACCAGTTCTTAAGTGCATTCACAAAGTCTCTATTCATAGATCTTTATCTAAGGCAACTGATGACCACCTTTGCCTTCCAGAGGCACTGGGAGCTCACAAAAAGCAGTGCCACCCAGTTTCTTCCAAACATACCTTGAACTTCATGGAGGTAAGTCTGTAGAGGATCTCGCTCATGTTCTCTCGGATGATGGACCACGTGATCTTATTGTCACTCTGCGCTGTGGTTTCTACAGCACGGCGTGCCATGTCATAGAATGCAATCATATTGGAAAGCATTCCCACTGTTTTGTAGAAAGGGCAGAACCTGATGGGACAGGAAAGGATCGGTCAGGCATCTTGTCACAGTTAACAGAATTTTGCTCCTGCCTTCACAACTCAGAGTTCTCACCTGACAGAAGGAGTGCTACCCTGCTTTACTCCAGGCATTTTGAATATGCACTGTCAAAGGCACGTTTTTAAATAAACAGATCGTAGACTAAGACAATCATCCTGGAGGGAGGCTTCTGAAGCAGCACCCAAACACTGAGCAAAACAGGAGAGAACAGGAACCATGGCTGTAGAAAGTCTCACTTTTCAATCTCTGCCAATGCTAACAAGAAAGGGAAAACACCAGAGCAGCCAACGAATTCCTCCTTCCTATTTTGTCCATCATGGGAGCAGGCATCCTCCAAGCTGCCTGGGATGACCTGACAGCTCTGCAATATTCTTTGCTCACAGGAAAAAGAGTGTTTCTGTGACAAGAGCACTCCACACATAAAAAACCCTCCATTTTTAACGGATGGATGACTGCCACAGAAGGTGCCTTATTATTATTTATACCCTGCATCATGCTACTTCCTGTGCTTCCCTATCACATACAAGCATGCTTGCCCCAGTAACCTAATCAAAGGCACGCACTGCTACAGAATGATGGACATCTACATTTTTAGTGATGAAGTATCGAAGGTCTCCTGATCTACCTGAGCAGGGGAGCAAGATGAAGTACAAAAGGCCCTTCTGTCAGGCTCTTAAAAAAACACAAAGATAGCATAGAAAGCAGCAAAGCAGACAGGAATTAGTATCACACTACAGAAAAGATCCAGTATTTTTTTTAATGGATCCAATTTACTCAGGAATTATGCATCAGTAACTGAAAGCAGATTCTTGCAATCTCCCATGTATTGCCAGAATAATCAGGAAGACTTGGATGTTGTCTCTGAAAATAAAGTACTCCTCCTCAGGAGGACATGCTATTGCAGAAACACTGGTTAAATGAACAACAGATGAGGGCCTGAGAAACTCAAAGGGTGTGACTGCATTTGGGAAAGGGCTGCATGCCTTGGGTAAGACAAAATGAATACACTGTTCAGTGGCCTACCTAAGCACAGCTCTTCCATTTGCATGCTAAGTGCAATTTCCAAGTAAATAGCTATCTAAATGCAGACTAGACAAGACTAAGAGGGCAGAGCAGCCAGTCAGATCTCACCTGTCGTAAGGCGTATAACCATTCTGTTGCAAGAAGTCATCTTTTATCAGCTTGGCAACCTCCAAGGTAATTTTATCTGTTTCTGCCAAGGAAGCCTAGAAAAGTAAGGCACACTGTTAGTTTAGCTAGGGCATGACATGTCCTGGCCAAGAACCGGTATCTTTCAGTACCTGTTTTCTTCTGATCCTCTTAAGATGGCTTTCAGCAGAATTCTGTCTTTGGGGCATTTCTCACTCCCTGCTCTCTGCTCTAGGCAGGTCAATTTCATTGATTGTCAAGTTAAGATGGGCCAAACTGCCACTAAGTCTATCTGATGATAAACAATGGAAAGGAAGTTTCCTTTAATAAAATGGAAAAGCCACCAGATAAAAAACACACATGGCTTTGCTACAAGGTACGTTAGAACATCACCTTCCTACATAAAGAGATCAATTCATTTTTACCTTCCTGAATCTTTATGTCCATGGAAGAAAAACTAGATCTCAGTAAGTAATCTTAAGGATTTGATACTATCCTCCACAGCCACCAACAGGCTTTCCCTGTCTGGCATTCAAGAAAAGCAAAGAAGTTAATGACAGTGCCTGCCATACTCCCCGGGACAGCCACAACCCTGCTGCACACTGCTGCTCTTGGCACTACAGGTCACCCTCCTCTGCCTTCACTGTCCTTTTGCTAAAGGGGGCAAATTGAGTTTCAAGTACCTCAGCTTGCTTTCTGCACAGGAAGTTTGGGCCTTCTTTCATGAGGAGACTAGCAGAAATCAGAGCTAATAAGAAAAAAAAAAAAAAAAAAAAAAAAAGGAAAAGTATCTGATTGTTTTTCCACAATTCCCCCTTTCTAAATGTTTGTTGCACTTGTTGGCCAAGCCCAGGCTGACAGACACTGTTAAAGGTACCATCTTTGAGATCAAGATCACCAGTTTCAGTACTTCTATCATGGGAATAATGGCCTGTTACAAGCGCTGGCTTATCAATATCCCTTCCACACCAAAGAACTGATTCTACCCTGCTCTGTAAACTAGTCTTTTAGAACATGGTTTTGCAAATAGAAAACTGCAGAAGACTCCAAGATCACATTTCCTTTTCTTCGAAGACACATCTAGAGAGCTCTGCTAGGAAGAGCTGGTGAAGGCCTCATCTTACATGGGCTGAATCATCAGTGAATAGGGAGATCACCAGGAGAAAGCTCCCTCCAAATAACTATAGTTAATACAAGATCACACACACTATTATGACCCTGTAAATCAGCAAAGTTCACTCAAATCTCATGGGATTAAGTTACTGTCAAGTATGTACTGGGCACCTGTCAGTTATTGTGTTTACACTGCTAAGCTGAAACACAAGAGTTTCCACTAGGTCCCTTTTTTGAGGGTTCTCAAGGGAAATATTCCTGTCCAAGTTCAGCTTTCTCTCCAAAACAGTGAAGCAAATGAAGGAAATTAAAGAATGCCAGTAAAGTGGAGCCATATGTCCTGTCACAACGTTTGTAGAGAGACTAGGGAATCACCAGGCCTCAAAAAAAGCAGGCATTGCTTCTGTTTTTTACAGGCCAGCTTGTAAATGCTAACACCTCTGTTCTACAGCTGGCAACATGGCTTCTAATAAACTGTAACCCTTCAGATGACATCAACAGTAAAGATCAGTTTGTGTCATTTCTCTTGCAAAACTTACTTACTACTGTAAGTTACAGCAAAGGGCGTTTCAGCAGAATGAGAACATTGAAGCAAGAAGCTACTTAACTCTTAGATGCTCTGCAATCTAATTTATATTAGAAAAGCAGCATCAAGCCAAGGTTCATCCAAAAAACACTTTGTTATTAGGAGTCAAAAAAGAAGAAAGTTGGAAAGTTCCTCAGAGCTGGTTACTCACCTTCCCCACAAGCTGCACAATCTCTGCAAGATCCTCTTCCTCCTGTAGGATCTCTTTGGCTTTTGTCCTGAGAGGGACGAACTCTGTAAAATGCTTGTCATAGTACTCATCCAGGGCACGTGTGTATTTGCTGTAACTGATCAGCCAGTTGACGGAAGGGAAGTGCTTGCGTTGTGCCAGCTTCTTATCCAGGCCCCAGAAAACCTGGCAGAAGCCAGAAAGATCAACCAGTGTTCCATATAAAAAAAGAACCAAAAATAATTGAAGGCAATTATAAATAAGTACAGCAAGCAAGTTTGCACAAAGGCAATATGGCAAAGGCTATCACAAATGAGAGCTTCAGAGAGAAAAAGAAAGAAACACCTCATGAGGGAGAAGTCAGCATTACAATGTCAATACTGGAGTCTTAATTAAGTGGGGACCTATCAGATGTAACTCCTTTTTCCTGAACAGGGCTGCAAGCTGTTACAAGATATTCTTCTCCCAGTCAGCTGCTCTGAGGACTTTTTTGTGGTTTCAATGCACCTATTAAGAGTGATTCACATCTCAGCTAAGAGCAGCCACATTTGAAGTACAGCTCAGTGGGCAGCAACTGGGAAGCACATAGATGTTCCTGAGCAGTCGGCATTGGAAGGAATTGCTGCCTTCACTTCCTCTTCCAAAGGGATCTCAAAATGTATCAGTTCAGAGACCAGCTCATAAGGCCACCTTTTACACTCTTAGAACATCTTGCAAAGCACCCTACAAAGCTGCCTGTGTCAAATCAAAGCTCTCACACCCCTGCCACTGGCACAAATGCACTGAAGCATGATCATTTCGAGATCAGCAAAGTGGACAGAAGAGCTGAAACATTGTGGGACATACCTGAACAATGCCCAGAGTAGCAGAAGTGACAGGATCAGAGAAGTCACCACCTGGGGGAGACACACTGAGTAGGAAGAGATAAGGAAGAATCATCAGATTACCACTGAAAACACAAAAGTCAACACGATTTCAAGTAACAGATCACAAGATTCCACAGCAGAAAGTGTTTGATGCATACCCACACAGGTGTTGTATCAGATACACCAGGAAATAGTTGTATCAGTGACTGACTGACAGTACCAAAGTATGATTTCAGTCCCTTTAGCTCCAGGAAGTAACTCCAGCTTGGATTATCAAACCTAACTCCATGAGAACAGATTCAGCAAGTGTACTGATAGAATACTGAGACACAGTGCAATGATTATTCTACAAAAAACAATATCCCAGTTTGAAATTATTTGAGATATTCACCTATACAATAACCACTTCAATTTCATTTGGGCTTGATACCCTAATATATGCCTCATCAGACAGAAAATAACTAACATCATCTGACTCAAAAGCACAATTCATTTGTGTATGGATGTTGTAGGCAGCAGAACTAAGCAGATCAAAAAATGGACTCTAGGTGTTCTTAGAGATGCTGGAGCATCTCCTCAAAACATGTGGTGTGAAGTTCGCTTGCCCACAGTATGATATATACAAATCAATGTCACCTCTAAGAATATCTGGGGACCACATGCCCATGGCAGCTTGAGATATGCTGCTCCATGTAATTCTACTCTATTTAAGCAAGAGAATCATGACTCATTGTGCCCCCAAGCACACACACTGCTGCTCTAATTGCCCCTTCTTTCATGCTCTGAGCATGGTTTGACATACTTTTCAGTGACAGCTCCTCCCTGAGCCATGTGCTCCAATTGCTGCAAGTGACTGCAAGTCTGCACCTCACAGAACTACCTGTCCACATTCATTCTTTCTGCCCCCACACACCATTTAGCAGCAGCTCTGGGTGAGCAGAGACTAAATATCTACCTACTCAACCACGTATTTTTAGTTCTGCAGCTGCTCAGAGCAATAAGACTTTTTTTGTCTGAAAAATAGGTACTTTGAGATACAAACACACAGAGGAAGAGCTGCAGCCAACGCAAAGCAAAGCAATGCAACACTCACGCTCCAACAATGCTGACGCTGCCTTCTCTTTCAGGATTCCCCAGGCACTTCACTCTGCCAGCTCGCTCATAGAAGGAGGCTAGACGGGCACCAAGGTAGGCTGGATAACCACTGTCTGCAAATGTCAACACACAGAAATGGAGTCAAAGGCTCAGAGTTTAAAAGATGCTTTTACAAGGCTAGACTGAGAAAAGACTACTCACCAGCTGGCATTTCAGCCAGTCGCCCGGAGATCTCTCGGAGGGCCTCAGCCCATCGGGAAGTGGAGTCTGCCATCATACTGACATGGTAGCCCATGTCCCGGAAATACTCAGACAGGGTGATTCCTAGAAAAAAGACAACAGCAGACTCAGCATAAGGTTCAGAAAGGAATTCTATGCTTTCATGTTGTCACCAAGATGCAAATAAGCCAAATTATCTAAGTTCACATTTGGATGGAAACAGACACTGGAAGTTAATTCTTTCTTTCCACTGAATCATGTCCTTGCTGTCTTTTTATTTCTTCTCACTCTTCCCATTTTCACTTATGAACCACTCTGGCTCATCTTACATTCCCATGTATCTCTTTGAAGAGACATGGCAATGTCACTGATGTTACTCCTTGCCTCACTGAAACCATGAACAAAGCTTCTTCTTATCGTAAAATGTCTTCTTCCCTTTCAAACTACCAGAACACAACAGTGAGAAAAGGCCATGTTTTATCTTAATGATCTGACAAATTTTCATAACAAAGAACTTAAAAAAGCACTATAAGAGGCTGCAAAGGAAAGCAGAGTAGCCTGCCAACTCAGAGACTCCTAATCCTGCCCAGTAAGTGGCTGTACTTGTCAGCAAAACACTATTCATAAACAAAAGCTTATATAACTAAAACATGGAGACAAACCTACATGACAGCTTGTGCAGTACATTCACCTTATAAGCAAAATTTTCTCAATATTCAAAAATCATAACTATGTACGAATTCAATTAAGACACTAGGACTTCATGCAGGCAAGGTTCAAAAGGGTTGACTTCTGAAACTAAGCAAGTTTCTTGGTGCTGACCATCTCAGGAACTGGAAACGCTACAGCATGATGGCTGGCTCTACACACAGCCTTTTCTAGCCTCCTGTAAGTCTTACCAGTATAGATAGAGGCTTCTCTGGCAGCCACAGGCATGTTGGAGGTATTTGCTACCAGAGCTGTTCTCTTCATGATGCTTTCTACTTTGCCATCAACTTCCATTGTTAGCTAAAATGCAAGAGAAGAAAAATGCAGCAGTAGCAAGGTGTTTGTTGGTTTTTTTTGTGGGGTTTCTGGTTTTTACAGTATTACTCCCTTTATATCAGGATCCTCTCCTCACAGCTACTCTACCAAGAGCAGAGACTAGAGGATACTATGCTGGTTTGCCTCCCAGACTGCACACAGCTTAACTCTTTACTGCACTGCCTCATCTCATCTTCTGCAATTGGCAAATCTCTATTGATCCCATCCAAATGAGTAATGACAAATCCAATGCATCAGGAAATACATTATCCTCTCTTAGCTTACTAAGCTGGAAGAGCCAAAAAGTTGTATCCTTCACCTGTATCCTAAGACTGTTTAGAACCTGAGAGCTTTTTTCCCCTAGTGTCCTGGGTTCAGCTACAGCAGTCGTTTTTCTCCTTCTTAGTAGCTGGTGCAGTGCTGTGTTTTTGACTTTCAGCCTGGGAACAACGCTGATGACACCGATGTTTTTAGTTGTTGCTCAGTAATGTTTACTCTGACCAAGGACTTTCTCAGTCTCATGCTCTGCCAGGGAGGAGGGGAAGCCGGGAGGAAGCAGAGACAGGACACCTGACCCAAACTGGCCAAAGGGGTATTCCATACCACAGCACATCATGCCCAGGATAGAAACTAGGGGGAGTCATCCAGAAGGCCAGATCACTGCTCGGGTTGGGCTGGGTATCGGTTGGCAGGTGGTGAGCAATTGTATCCTCTCCCCTTGTTATTTCCCTTATCATTATTATTAGTAGTAGTAGCAGTAGTGGTTTGTATTATACCTTAGTTACTGGACTGTTCTTATCTCAACCCGTGGGAGTTACACTCTCTTGATTCTCCTCCCCATCTCTCCGGGAGTGGGGGAAGGAAGAAGCGGGGGAGCAAGCAAGCAGCTGCATGGTTCCAAGTTACCGGCTGGGCTTAAACCACGACACCCATCTAAAATGATCCAAGTTTGTCTTTGACAACTAGATATTAAACCACATACATAAGCCCAGTGAAACCTCATAAACACCTGAACAGAATGCATATCCTGCCATTTGTACAGAATTCCACTTACGAATACACTGGGATTTATCTTTTTTCATAGCCACCTCATCTTGACTTTCCCATCTCATAACTAACCAACACATCCAAGCCCTCTACCTCTTATTTCTGACAGTGGAGTTTCCCTAACAGTTCAGACTACCTGGCTTCTTTCCCATATTTTACAGAAGAACATGCCACAACTAATTCACTAACATATAACAACAGGTAGAACGACTAGTAAGCCATTGCTTTTTTTGTTTTGTTTTAACCAGGCATTTTCTCCCTCCTTAAAGAAGGCATTCCAAAGCCTCACATGTCACACTATTATCTGGTAACCATTTGTATCACCACCCTGCACCCTGTACATACAAATGCTGCATTTGCTATGCATGGTTAAGTTAGAAAAGTTAGAGACGTTACCAGCAAAAGATAAGGTGCTTTATTTTAAAGCACGTTAAAAGGTACACCCAAAAACTAGTCCAGATATTTACTGAGGGGCCACTGAAATAATTCCTGAATGAGCCAAAAGGGATTTCTGCTGCTACAGCCAGAACTTACAGCAGGGAGGCAAGAAGGTCATTTTGAGTCACTGTGCCAATATAGTACGTTACTCAGTTACAATACCACAACAACAGCAAGTTTAGTCTCCATGAATTCTCCATACTAACCTCAGGGAAATCTCTCAGTACTTCAGACATTTCATTTCCTCGTTCTCCACAGCCTACATAAATGATGACATCACTGTTGGAGTATTTTGAGAGAGACTGAGAGATCACAGTCTTCCCACAACCAAATGCCCCAGGGATGGCTGTTGTACCCCCTTGTACACACCTGAGTAAAGAAAAAGAACTCTGATTTGCAAGGAACAAAAAACCATCTCTCTCATATCTTAAAATATGTTTCCCAATAAACTCCCTAATTAAAAGCAGAGTGACAGGAGCCACGTTCAGTGCTGTGGGTGAGAAACACAGAGGTATTTCACTAAACCAAAAGACTGAGGGAATAAACTATCCTTTTCCTCTACTGCCCTTGAAGTACATGAGTTCTGCTGGTAAAACAGCTAGACCTTCAGGCTTGAAACATAGCAGTTCCCACAGCTGGAAGCACTGACAGAATGCAAATGCTAAGAAAAGAACTGTACTTAGCTGTACCTTATAAGAATAAGCAGCATAGTATTTTAGGACCAGAATTACTGAATTCAGTGTCTTGGAAGTTTGCTGCTTAAATAAGCATTTTGTGCTACAGTTACATGCAACAGTTTCTACAAATGGTGACCCCATAATCATTGGGAACTGTGCATCCTCAAGACCATGGAAAGCAATCCTACTGATGTATTCAAATGGAGGTATCAAGCTTGAAAGTTACAGCTTTTCTGTAGGCTTGGCATGATTATGTTAAGTTTATGCTTGTCCATTCTTTTCTAGATTAATGCACTAGAACTATCTTGTTAAACTCATCCTCCTTTTTCCACTAGTAGGATCTCTTGCCAAATACAGAAATATGATGAATTCAGCAAAATATTTTTTGAGATTATGCTGTGAATACACAGTGAAAGGTTGGGGTCTATTTGCCCATAAAAAAAATTAAGGCCTCTTCCCTCTGATTCTCCCCAAAAAAGAGATTTCTTACATACCATAAAAGAAGTACTACTTACGGGAAGAGGGCATCCAGGACCCGCTGGCCAGTTAATAAAGGATGATTGGCTGGCAACTTCTCAGTAACAGGACGGACTTGACGCACAGGCCAGACCTGGACCATAGTGAACTTCTCCTTCACGCCTTCAAACTCCAGCTCTAAGACAACATCCTAACAGACAGCACCAGACATCTGAAGTAAGCAAACAGCTGCAGTGGACCAGCATACAAATTCTTGTCTCAATTACTCTGCACAACTAGGTCTTTGACACTACCACCAACTTCTCAGAACTTCAATATGCTATCAACCTCAGGGGAAGGCTCTTTCCCATATCATATTTAATTTACAATGCTACTGAGGGAAAAAGAAGTGCAAGACAAAGCTTCAACTAAAAATATGCTTCTGAAGAGCAACTGAATTTTACATATTCATACGATAGTGTAGATCCCCACAGAGGTCAGCAAACGTGGCATACTCAAGTCCCATTGTGAAGCCGTACATAGAATATAACTGCACAAGATAATCATGTAATCCCTGCAGGCAGGTCAGCAGAGTTGATCATTAACTCAGACGCTGTTGCATGAGACACTTTCTAGTTGTCATCATGCAGAACAGAAAGAGTACATCAACCCTATGAGAGAGACATGGAATATATCAGCAACTGCTGTTTGGGATACTTACTGAAGTGTCATAGTTTCCTGGCGGAGCAATGTATGTAACTGTACCCCTGTTCCGTGGAGGTAGCATGATTTTGTGTTTGATAAGGGAGTTTTCATTTACAATACCATAAATATCTCCACCAGTGATGTGGCTGCCAACCTGGAATCAGAATGGGTGTATTAGTCATAAGCAAGAACTCCAGCTTTAAAAAAGAACCTTAATAAAGTAACTATAGCTATTAAGTCTAGCACTGTGATTACTCCCTTTGTAAATGCATTGTTAGAGCACAGTAGCCCATTTGCATGCATCATTACACTAACACATTGCTAGCAACACTATCTGGGTTCAGGTGTCTTTCAAGGCTCAGACAGTAGCAATTAGTGACTGATGCAAGGAATCTTCCTCATTTTTTGTACACCTCTCAGCCTAAAGTGTTAAGCAGAGAAAGAATATCATATACTAACCTGCAGGCTTGGAAAAAAAGATGCTACCAAGGGTTAAAGCCATGACATTTTCCAGCTCTAAGGCTACCTTCATTTGCAAAAATATGTGCCACGGTCATCCTTTTTGCTTAGTCCAATTCCATGAGCTTCTTTCTTTACAGTTTTGCAAATACATTAAAACTTTCCAAGTTTCCCAGATGCAGCAGGAACACACCGTGAGTCACATCGAGTAAGTTTTGGTGGTCCCCATCCAGGCTCATACATCACTACCACCTCCCAACACAAACTGCGACAACCATAGCTTCAGCAGTCCCAGCCCTGGCACTCTGCTCCAGCCCTAACCTCTGGGGGTAGAGGAGCAAGGGGAGAAGGCTTGTCAGAACCTACCCGCAGATTCTTTGAAGGTGTGAATTCCCATTTGATATCTCGACTCAAAGCTGACACGTTGACACCTCTAGGGATATAGATACTTTTGGTCAGAGTGCTGATGTCCGAGAGAGGCCTCTGGATACCATCAAAAATAGCTCCCATGATGCCAGGCCCTAGTTCCACTGACAGGGGTTTGCCCGTACGGAGTACAGGATCTCCTACAGAGACACCAGCTAAAGATTTGCTGAGGAAAAGTTCATCCAGAGCCAGAGGAAGAAGGTACCACATTCACAACATCATCTAGAACCTCCTTTCTGACTCTAAGGTAATATTTTTATGACTGTATTACCCATCATCATTTGAGAAGCATGTATGCTTTATACTCAAATCAAGCTGAAATTGCTAAAGCAACAAAGCTACTCATTCTAGGGGTAAGTACCCTGCTTCAAGTTAACTGCATGGATGAGTTTGCTGGAGTGCCAGGCAGCAGTATGACAGAACATCAAGCATTTCTTACATCTTCAAAACTAGAAAACAGGTTTGATTGTTAAAGTCAGACAATGTTACGAAATATATAGATTTTTGTTTGCTAGAGAGCACAACTGTTTTGACCTTGAGCCTCGCACAGCCTTTTTGACAGCAGTTTAATTTTAATGGGAGTTTGTCCAAGATCAGCATTATTTCCCTCCTTTCCAGTATTAAGCTGTCCAGTCTATGCACTAACTCCAAAGATGCACAGTGGACTCCTGAGAAAAGGGCCAACAGCCTGGAAAAAGGCCCTGCTAGAATACAAAAGAAAACACCAAAACCCTATGCATGACTGAAAAGATTAAATGCAAGCTGACTTCAGAGAGCCCTGTGGCAGACTCCGCTCATGAGAAACCTAAGAGTAAACTATACTCAAACTTGTTCCATGTACCATTGGAAGGCTACTAGGTATTACAATGATGATGCCATCTAAAATGATAAATAATTAGGTACAGAGAGGAGCTAGTCACCAGTTTACCATCCAGCTCCTCAGAACAAAGCTTTGGGAGCCAGCACAGGTTTTTCCCTAGCCTCTACAGAGGGAGAGCCAAGTGTCAAGTTTAAAAGAGTACAAGGGAAAAAAAAGTCTGGCTTCAAGTTTTATGACTTCTTTTCTGACATTCTCTCATCTATGTGTAATAAAAAATGTATTTTATTTTAACTAGATTAGGACACATGCTGTGTTCTAGCTGGACCAGGATTCTCTAAGCACACTGCAGAAGCAAAAATGTAATCTATTATGTCTGACAAAGTACTCTGCCCAGAAGGCAGAGTGCCTTCTTATACAAGCATAGTTTTCAAAAGCAAAGAAAATAAATGCAACAAATACTGCTTGATAGTTTTGCCATTTATAGTTGGTATTTGTCAAACAACTTCCTTAACAATGAGCTCTACTATTTAAATTAAAATTACCTTAAATTCTAAGGTACACGTTATTTGATTTCCACTTGAAATCTCCTCAGCACATACCCGGGCAAGACAAGATTTACCTCAGAGCCATCAGCATTTACCAAGGATGTGCAGAACAGATGTCCTGCTGGCACTGGAAGTACCCAGTGCTGGTCCCACTCAGCTTTGGTCATCACCTTCACTCTCATCACCCCTGTGCTCTGGACTGAGCAGTCTGGCAGGCCCAGAGGCATCAGTGGAAAGGATACATGTTTCTTCATACACCTGAACAGTTGCCAAATCACCTTCCAGTCGGATGATCTCTCCCACCAGTTCACTGTGGCCTACTCGTACCAGTTCATACATAGCAGCGCCTGCCATGTTGCACGCCGTGACCACTGGAAGAGACAGGCACAGGGTGAGTCATTTTCCTACAGCTCAGGAAATTTATCCATCAGAAGTTAGTAAGAACTGCACAGCATAAGCCCGGGATTCACTCAAATCAGAAGTGCATTTTTAGTTTCACAAAAGGAGTAAGTTGGCTGCCACAAATCCTGGTATTTCTACTTTAAAAGATAGAAGTTTCCTTATACTTTTCACACTGCTCCTTTATGTTCAGTAAGAGGATAGTATCAGAATGTAGTAGGTCACAGACAATTCATGCCATCATCTTTTACCTGTCTTGACAGATGGTGAATGTTTAGCATTTTAGAGACACAGTGACCTTTGACAGACAAGTTACATAGACACTGCCCCCTTTCAGTGAGGTAGGCCACATTCCCATCTGATGAAATTAAAACATACAGGAAAATTGATACCTGATAGTTTCATAAACCTGTGGCTGGGGACCAGCATTTTCAAGTCACTCAAACTTCTGTTTTGCATTTGGATGCTCACATAACAATCTATTTCCATGTGTAGATGAAGCCAAGGTGCCTGCTAAAGGCAATACATGCCCTTGTATTAGGCAGATGCATTGTAGGCAGATGCCTACAAAGCTTTTAAGGAAACACTATTTTGCTATTTTGTAGCAAAGTGGTATGAGGGCACTTAACTTTCAAAAGATGAAGACTGTTTTACAGAATGTTTTGGGCCTTAAACCTCCTACTGTTTTGAGTTAGATTTCAGCAGGTCATACATGAGGCCTAGCTGCTTTAGGACAAAATTTATTATGTCTTTTATACTGTAATCTCAATCTTCCACACAGGGTTCACATATTTACATAAAAAATATATTTCCACTTTTTAGGAAATAAAGCTGTTGGTTTTAAGCAGCACTTCTGCAGTTACGGAGTTGGCAGCTAAAGAATAGGTATTTATTTAGGTAGACACGAGCCAATGATTATTACTCATCAAATAAGCTGCATTAACAAAAACACATGCTATTCCTCTGTTCTCACTTTCGCATCCCTTCCTTTACCTCTTGAAGAGAAGGCAGATGGGAGCAGAAAAGCTGGTAGAGCCTGCACGTATTCAAAAGCTGTTACCATCAGAGCCTAAAGAAACTATTTAAGCTGATAAAGGAGGAGGAGGAGTTCTCCTTCTCCCAGTCTTACTACTACCACACTGTGCCACCATCCCTGACCCTTCAGCTGAGCTCCTCCAGCCTACAGTGCAGTAATACAGAACAGCTTGACCCTGGGGAAGGACTGAGTATTCCAGAGATCACCAGGTCAAACTGTGTTTCAGTAAGAATGGACTATGCATCTCTCACCCTTTTATAGAAGCTTAATACACTGGGCCTGCAGATTTCTGACCAAGTGGCTTTCTCTCATACAGAAAGCTTACTACCTTTGGTATTAAGCCTGATTCTGCTCATTACATCTTTAAATAAGATAAATTAGCAGTAACATTCTGTTAGTATATTTCTTAATATTTTACCAGACCAATCAGTGATCCTTCTTAAAAAGCACCCCACCCCACCCCCCCGCCAAAAGGAAAGAGAAAAAGCCCCACCCAGAGCTCTACTATACTTCTCCACTTCCAGGTGAACAAGATTAACAAGACACTAAACAGAACCTATGAAATACCCACCAGGTCCTGAGACTCCATGGACATAACCAACAAAAGCCTCTCTTTCCTCATCACGGATCTTGGGTAGTTTGGAAAAGTTCATTTTGCCCGTTCAACTGTAGAGAAGGAAAAAAGAGTCAGTCCTGAGGAATACACACATGTTGTAAGTTTCTCCTCTTCCTCCCTCTGTTCTCTCCTTGTTTCCAGTGAGAAAGAATTCTGAACTCATACAACCTGAAGCACCTTAACCACACTGATTTTAGCTACAAAAAGTTAAAAGGTAACTTATTTAAACAAACAAAAGAACTAACATCCCCTATTGCAGAAAACCAGGAGCGGAACATCACTCCAGTACGCTCCACAAAACACTGCCGAGTGAAACAGTTACACTCCAAAAATGCCATAACATTGCTGGACTACTTCCAAGCCCAGTAACAGGATATTTAAACAATGGAGAATCTCTTCTGTCTTCCACATCTCATCTATTCTCCTTCAAAACATGGAGTGTCTATGATTCTGAGCATGAGAATGTTCTGGTGCTGCTTTACTGCCTCAGGTATCTAAGAAGCAATACTACAAATATTAATTGTGAAACTTCTATTTTTGCTATCTTAAGCTGCAGAATCAAGAGCCCTCAGAGGAAGAAACAAACATTTCCACAAGCACACAAACACGTGAGCTCTCTCTAGATGCCTCACAGTGAGACATTACACAATCCTTGCTCTCAGTGAAACCCATGGAGCATTACAGGAAAATTGTGCTGAATAATGCCCCAAAACCCCTACTTGCAGCAGTTAAAAACTTGACTGCTCTCTCTTGCCTGTCACTGTTTAGGGAACACAAAAAGCTGTTTTAGAAACAGACCTCCTCCATCCACATTTGTCCTATGATCGACAGTTGGGCTGGCCTGCTTCTGGTGCCGATAAGAGTAATGGTTTTGCTTTGTCAGCCCTTATCATGCTTTGTGTTACCTTGGAAACTGACTAGTGCTCGAGAAGTGTGAGGCAACTCTCTGACCATGTCTACCATCCAGCACTGGTGAAAGGCACAGTATGGCAGCCCCAGCGTATGATGCTGTGGTTTGGTGACATGAACTGGGTGAAGCATCTGTTGACACTCGCAGTCTTTGCAAGCATAACCTAACCCAGCAGCTTCTGCAAGGCAGCAAATACAGCGGCATGCTCAGGCTTGAAAACCTGACCTGTCTACTATGAGGAAGATGACAGCTACATTGCCACCCTATCCACCATCATTAAAGGATGCTTTTCTGCCTGCTCTTCAGTAGCAGCAGGTAACAGACACCTGCTGTTCTTAAAATCTTATGACTGTTTCCCAGTTTTTTAATACTACACTAACAAGTCCTCTGGCCGTCAGCCTCTTCCCTCATCTAAATGTTTTAAAAACGTTGGCTCGGCCCTGTAACAAAAGGATCAAATGATTCCAAACTCCTGTGCATCCTGAAAGAACAGCTTCTTCCAGGCTCCATGTCTCACTGTAGTGGATTGTGTTCAACATGGCTCCCACTGATTTATTTCACAACAGCCACCCCAACAGCTGATCATCACCAACAAGAAGTGGAAGTGCTAACTGCTCTCAAGCTCAAAAGCAGAGTCAGATGTCAGGTATGTGTTAGACCCCTCACCTCTCCATAATGACAGTTCATCCTTTAAGCTGCCTGTTGTCTAGGCCCAGAAGGCAATTTGAATTTCACTGCTTATTTCTCAAAAGCATCCTCTTAACAAATGGTGGAGGGGAGGTCATTGCAAAAGCAATCTGCAGTTTCTGAGCTGCTTCTGATCAGACTAACATAATCACCTCAGCTTTTTTGCTTTCAACAATTAAAATGTTGTAAAACTCAAGCACAATTACTGGTCATACAAAAAGGCAGCCTGCCTTATAAATCTACCCAAAGCATTTACTTCAACACACCACAGAGAACACTTTCTCGAGTCCTACTACCAAAATCTTCTATGTGAATAGAGAGTTAAACCAAATTCTCGTAACTGAATTAGTGACACTGTCTGTCAATGAGACTACATGGTTCCACAGAGAAGAGTCACTTTACAAAGCAAGGAGAGGCAGGAAGAACACCAGCCACTTTCAATTTACATTAACTTTTCTTCCTATCCAAACCCCATAGCTCAGATGACCACCACTGTAAGCGGCTGCTTAGCTTCCAGGGAGGCAAACAAGAACCTCAGAACAGTCATTCTGCAGTTAAACTGCAACATCCTGACACCCAGCACCTGCAGCTCCTGTTGCTGTGGCTGCTCTGCTCCCTCTCTCTTCCTACAGCCACTTTCCCAAATGACTGGCGAAGGCAGGTAAAAGGGAATGGGATTCCTCTGCTAGGCCACCTAGCAACACACCAGCAAACCCTGGTTTTGTCCTGATATTTATCACCTGCACCAACTGCTTTTAAACACACACTTAGTAACTACTCCAAGCATAAAAGGCACAGTGAATTCTTCCTCACCTTTCTTTGCTCCATCTTCTATATACCTCCAAACAAAATACACAGAGCCTAAAAAGCCAGTCCTCACCCAAACAAGCTGACCTCTTTTTTAATGGGCTAAAAATATTTCAACATTGAATACAAATTAAGAAAACAAAATGCTGTTATTTATCTCTGCATAGTTTTCTTGTGCTCATATATTAGCACTAACAGAATTTCATTTTATATGGAAAAGTCCTTGAGGGCAGAAACGTTGCCTTACCTACCTACACTATTAAATGTTTTCAGTGTTATTATGCAGATAAAATGGAATTCCCTAAAGCACATCAGGATTTGCTAAACACAACGTAACGTGTGTGCAGGCAGCATGTATTTACACCCCAGAAGCCATGGTAGTTAGCCATTTTGGAAAGCTACTGAGCCCCTGTAGCCTTTCAGAGGCCTCTTGCCAACACAGGGTATTAGGCACTATATGTAATCCACTCCTACAGAAGTCCACTAAAACACCTATACAGAATATTAGCTTAATTTTAATTCCCTTATGAGCAAAGATGCATCTTGCATTCTTTACAACTTGCTTACATGAATCTTCTTCATCTTCAACAGTTCACCAATTGATTTTAAGCATGCTCTTAAGCTCTAACATGGACATATTCTGCCTAACAGTGCCAGAAATCAAAATATTACTTGCTGCAGAACCATCTCTAACTGAAAGGTGGTTTATTAAAGTAATTTTTTAGTCATAATTAAGCAAGAAAGGGCCAATAACCCAAGTTTTCTATCTTCGTTTCAATCCCAGCACAGCAATTTGGCTACACAGTAACCCCAAAAATTTAACTGTCTAGCTCTCAATGCTGGAAAAACCTGTTTTCTGTTACAGTTTCTTGGGTTTGGTTCAAACATTTGATCAGTCCCAGAACTTACACGATAAACTGCAGTACCACAAAGATCTCTTCAAAATTAAGACTCCAGTGACATTTTTGCAAGGAGCCTTCTCACAGCATGGAAGAAAATCCATCGCTATTTTATCATATAAACACAGATCCTTACCTTATTTTGCAAAAGCAGGGAGTAACAGTGCAGCAAAGCCAGAATTCAGCGGTTAAGCACTACCACTTAGGAAATGATTGTCCTTCTCGTGCCCCGACAGAGGGATGAGAAAGCCTGCTGCAGAGGGGAAAGCAATTTCTGACACACAGCAGAGGCATAACCACCTGACTTGGTGAGTCATCAGTCTCTCTCTCTCTCCCACCAGCACTCAGGAGTGCCGCAATTGCAAATCAAGCTTCTCAGAGCCCAGCTGAACTCCCATCTGTGCCCTCCTCACTGCACAGGACCCAGCAGAAGAAATCCAGTGTTCACATTAAGGGCCCCCTACAAAGCCAGTAATCCCAATGGTGCATACTGCTACATATAAATTCTTCAGAGATGCTTTCTGCTGAAATCTGTTTACCCCCCAGCCTCCAGTCTAATATATTCGTGTCAGTGAATGCTCTGTTCTAGAAGAGCTTAACAGAACTATTTAACAACAGACTGCGCAAGGAGGCACTGAAGACACTGTAATCCTAATTGCTTGAGTATGCAGAGCAGGTATTGACTGTCAAAACTGAGTCTTGTGGGGCTTACTTTTGCTAAGAGCCCCTTCCCCTAGTTGGCAAAAGTATTGATGAAGCATTGGTGAAGCTGCCTAACATCCAGCACCTTAGTGAAGCAGACTGATGTGCCACCTTGAGTGACAGCTAAAGCTTGACAGGCACTGACAAACTGTCCTGTATGTGGCACAGAAGTCAAGCAGTTACGCTGTCTCTCTCCCAGGAAGCTGCAGGAGTTGAAGAGTTCCCTGTAGTTTTCACAGCTTCCCAAGACTATCTTTGCAAGTTCTAGCATTAGCAACACATCAAATTACTTAAACACGCTAACCAAAATTGTAGTAAATAGCACGAGACCAGCAATTCAGACCCTGCAGCATTACATTACTAAGTCACCAGTGCTAGGATTCATTCTGCTGGAGTAATTTTGAATTAAGATCATAGAATTTACTATATCTGAAACAGACTAATGTGATTTGACTTCCTAGGGTAGAAAAATTGAGTCAGAACGTAAGCCCTTACTTTCAATATCCAGGAAAGCTTAATAGGCATACACATTAAAATGTAGCCAAATAAAGTTTTCCAAAGAAAATCCCTCCTCCTCTTCTTAGTAAAAACATAGATGTTTTGGAATAGTGAAGATCAGAACCCACACTGCACAGTCAGCTTAGCACTGCATTCGAGACATGCTTTAGAATGAAGATTGCCAACATGTACTGTGTTCACCAGAGCAGACTTTGGTACACTGCATAAATCCCAGTGTCCGGCTGTACGAGGATGTGTTGCAAGGGCCTCATAAATAATAGGATAATCACTGTCATAGATTTCCTGTAACTTGGGCAGTTTATACTTCCCCCTCCAACAGACTATTTTTAAGAGGAAGTATTAAAAAAATACAGTGCCTAAGTTACTAGTCAAATGCAGAAGTTTGGCAGCATTTCTGCACCAATGCAGGCAATTGGGGATATTGTCCCAGAACTCTAACACTGGTCACCTGGAAGACAAGCCAAATAGGAAATCTACTCCTTCATACTATGCAGAGTTATAATTTTACTGTAACACAGCAA